AGAAGAAAAAAGAAGAAAAAAAGAAGAAAGAAGAAGAAGAAAAAAAAGAAGAAAAAAAGAAGAAAAAAGAAAAAATGAAGAAGAAAAGGAAGAAGAAAAAAGAAGAAAAAAGAAGAAAAAAAAGAAGAAAAGGAAGAAGAAGAAGCGAAAACCTCTCAATACCGAAAACCTCCACTGCACCCTAAAAAAGTTAATGGTTACGAAAGGGTGGTCTTTCAAAGGGGTTATTCATAATTCATTCTTGACTCAAGTGAAAACATTAACAGCAACCTGGTATTTTGTAGAAATTGAGTGTATGCACAGAAATATCCTAGACTTGTGAATAGTGATGGCCCAATTTTCATGCACGACAACGCATGGCCGCACGCCTCTCCATCAACTGTCCAAAATCTGCATAGCCTGAATTATGAAATTTTGCCTCTTTTCCATATTCACCTGATATCACTCCTACTGATTATCACTTATTTAAGCATTTTGAGTTTTTCATGCACAATAAAACATTCCTCAATAAGGAAGATGTAATCGAAGCATTTGAACTGTTTGTCACATCAAAGGATGAGAATTTTTTTTTTTTTTTTAAGATGGGATCAAGAATTTAGAGGTACGTTGGAGAATAGTCATTATCAACTTCTTGCCTATTTTCAACGAAATAAAACGCTTCTGAAATGTTAAATAACTAATTTGTTATTTCACATTTCAGAAGCGTTTTATTCATTAGGTATGACAACCTAATATATAAATGTATGTGTGTGTGTGTGTGCGTGTGTGCGTGTGTGCGTGTGTGTGTGTGCATGCATGCTTGTTTTGTAAAGAAATATGATAAATTATTCCGAATTATTGGCCCGGCTCAGAATTTGCAGAATTGACAGAATTTGCAGAATTGACAGAATTTGCAGAATTGACAGAATTTGCAGAATTGGCATCCGCTCGGAAAGGGGGTTAGAGAAAATAAATTGAATATATTTACAGATGTCATGTAATTTTGAGATCTTTGTCTAATACGGCGTTAAATCTTTGCTTCAAATTATCTGAAACTTGCCCTTTCTTAAGGGAAATGCTGAGGGAAATTTAAGAATTCCATGATATCTGTAAAGAAATTTAATTAACACCCCCGCCTACTCCGATGAGCGGATACCATTTCTCCGTAACTCTGCGACGGGATGATAAGTTTTGAACATTTTATTTCATTTCTTTAAAATTAATACTCTATTTCTTAATGTTGAGCACTTTACTTTTCAAAGACTGTTTGCCTTAAAAGCGTTATCCCACCCCCCCCAAAAAAAAACATCGGTCGATCGCTATTTATTTATTTTTGCGAAATACAATCTTTTGTTATATATATATTGATGTATCAGTTATTAGTTACGTTTTGGTAGCGGGTAGGGATGTATTTTTCAAAATACAGACATAATAAACACGCAGACACCCCTTGTCTAGTGAAACTGGATTTATCTGTAACCTTGGAAACGTGAATTATGATTTTTGCTGTGTCTTTAAAACCCAGTAATTTTAAAAGTTACTCCAAAATTCGCTTGAGGATGAAATGGAACTAATGTCTTTAATTTAATTGCAAAATTAAATTCGTGGCTTTTAGCTTCCATTTTTGAAACATGGTTAGAACTGTGTAGCGAAAAAAACATTTTAAATCAATTAATTTATAATATTAATGCTCTGTAAATTTACATTGAGCACTATTTTGTAAAAATAAAAATATCTATAAGAACACCGGATTATATATCTTACTGTTCTTTCTTTTTTTATATATATATACATATATATATATATATATATATATATATATATATATATGAATGAAAGCTTATATATATATATATATATATATATATATATATATATATATATATATATATGAATGAAAAACTTATGTTTAAACAATATAACTTACATTGTACTTAAATGTATATTTGAAATTCCTGTTTATGATTTGTGATAATATAAGAAATATTCAGGACAAATATTACATTTCGAGAGAAGACAAACAAACGCAGGTGGGCAGATGTGAATAAAACCATGTTTTCACGACAAAGCTGTTATTATTTACTTATCGTCCACATACACACACAAACACAGACACACACCTATATATATATATATATATATATATATATATATATATATATATATATATATATATACACATATGCCGAGTATCAGCTAAATTGTTCAAATCGTGTAACAGCAAACTTGTTAAATTAAGCTTTGAACCGTTGTACCTTAGAAATGATTAATGATATCTTACTGGAATTCTCCGAGGATTTTTTATAGCATAACTCGACTGTATTTTGAACAATAAGAATACATTTAGCACTAAGTTGAAATGATGATCCCTCTTCCTGTTGAGTGTCCTTCTGATTCAATGTTCCCCTCTACTGTTCCATCTTCATTAAACTTATTCTCCGTTCTCTTGATGGTTATTGAATGAACTTTGAAGGTGGAAGCCAGGGTATGAATGTTAGTTGCATTACTGAAGCCATGAATGATCTTTTTCGTCTCGCCATTGCTCATTTGGGCCTCACACAAAACGATTTTCACCTGTTCTCTTTCTAGCTGAATAGCTCAAAGGGTTTTGCAGTGATTCTTACAACAAATGGCGCCTTCTTGGTCTCATGTTTTTCACTG